GCTCGGGTTGATCAGCCTTAGAGATGGACAGGAGATCTTCGGCGTTCCGAGAAAGTCCAGACTTGACCACTATCACATCCGATCGGGTCCTGATCTCGGCCGGCTCGTAGAACGGAACGATCCCATGGATCAGGAAATCACGGGACAGCCGTTCGACGAACTTCTTATGCGGCTCTTTGGCGTCGATCAGGATGACGTCGGGGTGGACCCTCACGAAGCGATCGCGAAACTCCGCGTGGTCCTCCTGGGAGAGCTCCGGGATCTTGTTCGGGTCTTCCTCCATACGAGCTCGCCGAGAGGCGTATTGCGTTTGTAGCGCTTGAGCAGCTTGCCACACCGCCGCCAAGGACATCACGGAGAGCTCCTGTGCTGCCGCATCAGCCCCGAGCGGGGTCAAGTCATCTTGCCACAGCCGACGGATTGTCGCCTTTGCCGAGGTGAGATCCTGCCCCAGCATTGCGAACATCTCGACTGTGAGGAGACCTTTGTCGGCCGAGAGCCTGCAGAGGGCTGGATCTAGCCCCTGTCTCCCGAAGATCTGGCGCAGGTTCAGCTTCGGGGTCGCCGCCTCATTCGCGTATGCGGTGCGATCGACCATGGCTGCCTAACGAGCTGTCTGAAAAGAAAAGCTACGGTCAGGGAGAGGCTCAGCTCGAGTGGCCATCATGACTGCGAACAGCTGTGTTCACGGCTCCGTAAATATCTTACCGGAACACAACGAGCACATCTGAGTACTCGGCGGGATCTCGCCGAGATCCTCGCACTCGGTGATCGCGTACCGGCCGCAGAGCGTTCGCTCCGTGCCCGTACCATCTATATACATGGCATGATATTTAAGACTCAGATCCCTTGAGGACCCCGCAGCCGATCTAGCCTTGGTGACATAGGTCAGAGCGAGATCACCGAAGTCGACCAGATTGGTATCGTCGGCCTCGAACTCCGGTGGAGATTTCCAGTCGGATGCTATCCTCTTCGTGAGCCGCTTGACCATCTCGATCGAGATCTCTTTGCGGCTCCGAGCGTACTTCAGGACCAGCTGGCTTGGATCCTTCCAGTTCGCTTGGAGCCCGATCTCTTTATCGGGCTCCTGCGCCTGGACCGCCGCCGAGAGCAGCGTGACCCGGCAGGAGTGCCAGGTGATCTCCGGCACGATCTTCAGGAGCTCCTTGAGCCGCTCGGGCGAGATGTGCCCGCGCTTCAGATCGTCCGAAGCTGCAGTAGTGAGCACGTACCGCAGCCACAGGATGCTCCGTTGGTAGCTGGCAGGCCGATCGGCGAATCGCTCAGCCGATTCGAGCTCTTTCATGAAGTAGTCGCGATCGTCCATTTCGAACGCAGCTGCGTGCCATCCGTCTTCCATCCAGTCGGATCCGGAGACGGAGACTCTGGCCGCCGCGAACCGCGTTCCCTTCTTTTGTCGCTCGACCTTAGTCTGCCAAACCACCCCATAGAGAGCCTCGTCCTTCAGGGCGAGCGCCTCGGGCACGACGTGGAGCGCGTCGTCGAACCTGAGGGACGAGTAGATCATCACGAGAACCCACCATGCGAAGAACGCCATGGGGAATTGGCTCGACTTAAAACGAGCGCACACGAACCGCTCGAGCGCCGCCACCAAGATCAGAGGGATGGGAACCGCTTCCCTCGTCTCTTTCCCGCGATCGCCATAGACCTTCTTCTGCAAGGCCATGATCCGGGGATCGAGAAGGTCGGGCAACGTCAAGCCGATCCGCTTGCAGATCCATTTGACCGCCCCACGTACCGAAGGTATCACGGTGGGGCCGCAGCCTCGATCGGAGAGATCTAAGAGGCACTTGACGAGCACGTCGGTAGTCAGCGGGATCACCGCTAGGTTCTGCGACCTCGCCCAAGTCTCAATCCTCTCCCAGTGACGAACGCACTGCTGGATAGTGCGGAAACCGCCACTCTCGAAGACGATCAACCTCAATGCATTCATCTCATCTTGGGACAGGGGTGATCCCGGCTTCGGGTTGCCCGCGATCGCGGCGTGCTCGCCGCACCTCTCCACGATCGCTTTCAGCCTCATGCCCCACTTTCGGGCCTCGCCGAGCTCACGGGTTTTGAGCGATGCCTGCGGATCTTCAGGCCTCGGCTCGATCGCCCGCGGCCTCTTGGCGAGCGGCAATGGCATAGGAGGCTCCTTGCCAGTCCCCTTCGACTTCAGTGGCGATCGCCCGAAGACGACCGGAGCTTCAGCCAAGCCGAATCCCAGATCAGTGGCCAGATCAGCCCAGCCCGCTGCTGCCGTGCTACGAACCAGCACAAACAACAGCTCGATCGACGGAACCCACCTGCCGAGCTCCTCCTCGTTCTTCCGCCGATCTGGCGTGTGGAGTTCCTCGAGGGCAGGGACAAGATCAATGAATGCTTGCACACACTCAGCGATCGTCCCGTCCGAAACAGCCGTGAGCTTCTCGAACTGAGCCATCCGAAGATCCACCAACCATTGGCAAAATTCATCCCCGAACAGGGGGAGGGATAGGATCTTCCGAACGGACCTATCCATGCTGGGCCTGAACAGCTGCACGAACGATCGCACGTGCTTGCTAATGGTAACCGAGCGCCGTGCCTGAGACAGGTATTGATCAATCTCACTTCCGGCAGAACATGCGCTGGGATCTTGCGCGCCGAGAGGATCGCTCGGCATGTTTGTTCCGCGGAAGAGCCCGGCTGATCCGCCAGGAGGCTTCGGTCGCGCGGCGCACCACTCTCTTAGGAGCGTGCACAAAACCGACCATCGCCTAGGCTTCGATCGACAACTAGTCTGTGTTGTCCATCGTGTAGGGCCCCGTTGACGATCTGGCTGGCGGGTAGGCCGGGGCGAACGCCTTCGGCACCGTGGTCGTAGAGGAGGGGGAAGCCGTGATCTCTTGGCCCGTCTCCTCCACCCTGACCGTGCTGATCCGCTCGTACTCCGCCTGCTCACGGTGCTGGAGCACGTCGGTGAAAACCTGAGGCGTGATCGCAGCCGACGTGCGCGAGAATCGCATGTCGGCCCTCATGCGATCGCGGGCATCGGTGACGACCTCCTCGGCGACCTGCTCCTGGCCGAGCTGGCCCTCCTCTGGCACCGGAACAGTGCTCACCCTCTGGTCGAACACCTGCTGAGCCGAGGTGGGCATGTTGGTGAGCGCCGAAGTGACCGAGGAGCCCAGCTGCTGAACCGCCTGCCGAGCCGCCTCTTCCATAAGAGCCGGGGGGCCGTTCCGAGCTCGAACGGCGTTGTTCTCATCGTGCGACCGGTGGGCGAGCGCCTCCTGCCGGACGAACTCCAGTGGGCAGACCCTGAGCTTAGATCTAGCCCGCACGTGGAAGTTCCCATGATCCATCGGGAACTCGTCTGTCGCAGTTCCCACTTGCACCTGTTCGTGGGCGAACGCACTGTGGTACCAGGGGGCGATCACCGCAGACAGCTGCGCGAACTGCTGGATGTGGTCTGGACCTTCCACGCGAGCACGCTGGGTCCGACAGGCCTGGATCGTGCTGATCAGAGCGGGGCCCGAGATGTGGCTGACTGTGAGCCACGTGCCAGGCACCGAAGTCCTCCCGCACTTGAGATCGATCCGGTTGTTGGCGTCCCGGAACCGAAACTCAACACGATCGGCGTCGTTCCCATAGCCTTCTCGGGACGATCGTTCTGTCACCCTGAGCTCACAGGTGCTCATGGCATGGTCGCTCGCCATCACTGCTCCTCTCGGGCCGATCGTGTAGACTCGGGCTCCAACCTCGAACGAGGTCACGGAGACCTTCCATCCAACGAAGACCGAGATGACGATCGAGGGTCGGAACCATCCTTCGTTGGCTGACCGGATCAACACCTCGTCGCAGAACTGCTGCTGGACAGAAAGATCCGAGTCCGAGCGGTAGCCCCTGAAGACCCAATGGAATAGGACCTCGTTTCCATTGAAGACCTTCACATCCACATAGGTGGCCGAGGTGCCGAACATCACCGGCCAAGTGAAGGGCTGGAAAGCCGGGTGCGATAGCGCCCGACTCGCGTAGGAGTCCCACTGAGCACATGGTCCCCCTGTTTTCGAAGACATCGAAAAGAGCAGAACGGCCTTGATGCCATCGAGCGTATAGTTCGCGAACAGCGAACAGTGGTAGCCCGAGTTCGGGGGCATGACCGAGTCCCGCTCCGTCAGCACATTGATCGAACTGGCGGCATTCGAGATGATCTCCTCGGCCAGCCAGTTCTGGAACGGGGAGATCACCCGATCGTCGCGGTTGTCGATGACGAGGAGCGAGTTCTGGGTCTCGTCCTCTTCCTCGACCACGACCTGGCGAACGAACTCAGGCCGCTGAACAGCGAAGGAGTTGTGGGCAGCAGGAGCCCCGCGGTCACGACGTCCACGACGATCGTCGCGACCCCAGCCTCCAGAGCCCCAATCGCCGGATGCGGCAGCTGGAGCCGCGGGATTCTCGGGAGCCTCTGCCTCGCCTGGAACGTAGTGTCCCCAGTTGCCCGGATTCTCAGGCTGACCAAGCCGGCGGGGCAGCCCGAACTGCGGGGCCATCGGAGCCGCCATCTGCCGACCTTGATGGAAGCCAGCGGGAGGGAACGACATGGCTGCGATCGAGCGAGCCTATTCACTTCCACCTCCCACGCCGATTTTTCGGTATGGCCCGATCGGCTATCGCCAAAATGGCCACGGAGAAAAGAGATCAAGTCTGTTCCAACGATCGCGAAACTGATCTCCTAATTCCTACCCACCAGACCGATAATTAGGAGACATTTATTTATATAACCACATATACATACAAATGCAAATATGAATAGTGATGGGTGTGCACATTTTCCTTGCGAAAACTCGCGCTATTGTACGCGTATGTACCCAAACATGCTGCCGGCCTGCAGGATGTTGTGTGGCGGGAACTACAACTTGCAAGTTGACGCACAGCCTGTGACTTGAATTCCTCTGAGGGTGCTTCACATCTCCCAGCATGAGACTGACGAGACACACCCATCCCGAGGCTTCAACTGTACTGGTGGTCGTGGTCGTCGTTGAGGTGACGGTACTCGTCGAGGTGGTCGTAGTGGTAGTAGACTGGCGGGGAAAGGAGCCTACGGTAGGATCCGCTCGCTTAAGCGGTGCTGCATACTCGTGGTGTGAACCCTTGACCCTTCGTACAGGGCACGGCCAAAGGAGGCATCGCCAAAACACCTCGCGCAAACACTCGTTGGTGTGGACAGCAGCTGGAAGTCGGGAGCATGAGGGTTGCCAGGCCTGGAAGTGTGCAAAGATTTATGTGAATTTAAAGGAAAACAAAAACCGATTTCGCGTGGCACTCGGTCCTACAACCCGTGGCTAGCCCGGATGTGGCGGTGGCGGGCCCAGGCACCGCAACCCCATCATGACCTCCAGGTGTGTGCCGCATGCCCGAATGCATACACCTAGGCATGTGCATACAGATGATTCGAACACACAGGTAAAATGCGAGGGGAGTCTGTGTGTTCATACTTCCACCCGACACACACACAAAAAAAACACATGCTCTTGCTTCAGGGTTACTCTCTCTCTCTCTCTCTCTCTGTCGCCCTCTCTGTCTCGTTCTCTCACTCCTCTTTCTGCGATGCCTCCCTCCCCTCAGATAGTCAGAGCTCTGCAGCGAACCACGAAGTCACACTCTGGACTTACGGCCGAGGATCAGATTTCAGAGCCTCCAGAACAGATGGAAGGCCAAGCGAGGCAATAACGCCGGAAGCGTCGACGAGCATCTACGATCCCTGCCAGCTGTACTAACTCTGACTGTCATCCTTCATATCATGATTTCGCACACAAACTTGATGAAGAAAATGGCGCCACACGCGGCTCGGCCTAGCGCTTGGTTGCTAAAGAGCTTCGGGGTGTAGGGTCGGCGCTCGAGCATGCTGTGCAATCTAGTCGAGGGGTCTCAGATACCTGAAAGCATCGCCTAAGCTCCAAAGTTGAATCCGGGACAGAAAAGCAAAAGTCCCAAAGCATGCCGCAGCAGACGGTTGTGGTACTCGTGGTCGTGGTGGAAGTTGAAGTGATGGTCGAGGTGCTTGTCGAGGTTGTGGTCTGCAGAGGAGCAAACCAGCGACAGGCACCATGTCATCGCATATCGCGCTCAGCTTACACAAACGAGCCACATACCGGAGTGCTGAGGCCCTGAGTCCGCAAAGTAATTGTAGCCAGGAGGCTGTAAAATGGAGAGACTCCCCTTTGCGCATAATTTGGGATCTCAAGCCGAACCCCCGATGCGAGCATCAACAGATCCTCCCATACGACAAAACACCAAGCACCAGAAGGGCCAAGGAAGCACCCAGGAGCCAAACCCGGCAGGTCAGAACAAGGACCTCCTAACCCCTAAACTACGCCCCAACCCGCCAAAACCCGACAAGGAGCAACATTAACTTCCCGAAACCCTAAACCCTAAACCCTAAACCCACTCTTAGAATCGCGCCGTGGTGGTACTCGTCGACGTGGTCGTTGTAATGGTGGTCGTCGAAGTGCTAGTAGTGGTGGTCGTCTGAGCTTGCTTGCTTGCTTTTCTCTGTATTTTGGCTCTGCACTGCAGTGATTCCGCAGGGCAATAGGCGATGTTCTATGCTGGAACTGTTAGCTATACATTATATGTTGTGCCCTTAAAACATGCAAGATTATACGTTATGTATTATGTATCACAAATATATTAACTACATGTTATGTACTATAGACTATATGTTAAATGCTTTATGTGTGTATTTATATAGAGATATATTACATGACCAAGCTGTCGCATACATCGCCGCGCGAACAAAGTTACCTATCTAAGCAGAACGTTCTCGAGATCGCCCGACAAGTCCTAAGGCTCTGTCCGTATGCTCCAAACGATAATATGACTTCAATGTTTACATAGGGCGAAGGGGTCCCCGTCAAGGTGAAATACGGCCCTTTAGAGTTTACGGCTAGGGTGCTGATGCTGCCGACGATGTGAAAGGTACTTGTAGCATTGCAAGCAAACTTCCAGGTGCATACCGGTTGCACCTCGACAGTTCCAAACCTAGTGGCCTCGGCAACTAGCAAGTATATGCATACCTTACACATATACATCTTCGGATTTCTACGTGCGTACATACCTACCTACAGCATTACCTACATACCCACACGTACATACGTATATGCATGCGTACACATGCATAAAACCATCCATCCACTCATCCATCCATCCATCCATCCATCCGTCCATCCATCCATCCACCCACCCATCCAGCCATCCACCCATCCACCCATCCACCCATCCACCCATCCACCCATCCACCCATCCATCCACCCATCCATCCATCCATCCATCCATCCATCCACTCGTACATACATCCATGCGTGCATACTGCAAACAACCGAACAGAAATACAGATGGACATAGCAGAATATAACAAAACATACTGCAACACGATCTTGCACAATGTGCATAACCTAACACAGCATAAAATAACAAAGCATAACGTGTGTGTGTGTGTGTGTGCGCATGCATAAAGGTACACATGCACAGAGACGTACAAACAGATGTACTACAATGATGTTGCAACTTCGCCTGCTCGTTTAATTGAACGAACTCAACATGACACTTCCTCTATAGTCTGGAAGAAAAGAGACATCCTGCAAATGCGGATATGCCCGCCCCACCCCCCCACCCCCAAAACCACCCCCCCGCCCCCCCAAAGCCTTAAATCCTCAACCCTTTTATCGGATGCGTGACGAGGTTGGGGCTTCAGGCTTCGGCTTTGTAGGAGAAATTTGTCGGAGCTTTTGCCTTCTACTGGATGCATCGGCGAAGTGACCGTCTCCCTACTTTATGCGATCTTTAACCAAAGAAAAAACAACAACCAAGCCCATCGACCAGGCGTTCATTCAAACAGGCACGCACAAAGAAACTATAAGTCCGAAGGAAGTCCATGTGACGGAAACCACAATACTCGAAGTTTCAATCCAAGCCCGAAATAGAGCAGCATCGTCGAGGCACGGTCGATGTCGATGTTGTTGTGGTCGAAGTTGTTGTGGACGTGACGGTAGAAGTTGTCGTCGTTGACTTGGGGTCAAGGCCGGAAACTCCAAAGATTTTGAAGGATTGTTTGAAGGATTGTGGCTTGTAGACCACGCAGAACTACGAAAACCGGCTTCCCATGTCAGTTCACAACTCCATCCGCAATTGACTGGAGTGAGCTTCGACCAGTACACATCTGCCCTGAGCACTGCAAATCCTAAAAATGACGCAGGTGCTCTGCTGCACCTTCGAAACATGCTGGCGCCGGTCACCTACCAGAATTATGCTGAAGCTGGTGTGTGAATGCAACACATATATACTTTCGTTCTGTTTCTTTCCATGTCAGGACAACCAGAATCCCCGTTACCATGCCTTCAACCGTTTTCAGGCTAGTCCGAAGCAGGTTTAGGGCTCAGGGTTTATGGGTATCGGGTCTAGGTTCTAGCGTTTAGGTTGGAGGTGTGGGCTCTTAGTGTGCAGCAGGGCTTGGAGTCCTTGCTCGACAGCTCAGTCTTTGGGACTGAAAAAGCCCTGCTTGTCTCGACTGCAGCAATTCTGAAATACTCAGTGTTTGCAATGAACTCTCGACGAACAACGGGCGACCCGAAACTGCAAAACGCTGTCATGTCCTGCCCAAAGGGTCCTATGTACCGATATAGTAGAATGTAGGGTTCCCAAATTAGGAATTACTATTATGACTTAGGGAAGTATCCCCCATAACAGTACAAAGGCTTATCCTCCGAACAGCCTGAAAAATCGACTACCTGGACCCGACTTCTCAACTCCGATTCGAAACCCGAAAGCCAGGCCCATGGCTGTGGTGGTGAGGGTGGATGTCGTAGTGGTAGATGTGCTCGTGCTAGTAGTCGTGACCGTGGTAGACTGGGCAGGGCGCCGCTCCCCTAAGGGTCCAAGTACCTAACTATCACTCTCCACAATAGTAACCTAAATAACTACTATCCTAAACCCTAAACCCGAAACCCTAAACCTCGGTACGTAACTATTGGGTCCTTCTTCGGATCTTTAGGGCTACTGGTGCATTATTGGCATGGCCCTTGGCTGCACGAGTGTTCGCTATTGCGTGCAGTTGGGATTGCCGAAAAGTAGGGTTACCTCATTATGAGGTCCTTTTAATAATGATCCTAGCGTTTAGGACTTATGGCACTATATTGGGGTCCCCTATTTTCGGAAGCTCCCAGTTCCGTGTTACTTAGAGTAGAAATCGCTGGATGCTGTTCTGGGGCGTCGCCGAAACACCAAGCAAAAGCCATGGATATACTTGTACATGTGGGTGGCTGTCAAAATTAGGGTCCCTTTTGGGGTCCCTATTATAATAAGGCACATCATATTTAGGGCACCCAAAAAGGGACCCTAATTTTGACAACCACCCATGTGCAAGACGGTGCCAATATACACTCTCGCATGTAGGTCAGTATACAAAGATAATCACGCTCGCACGCATCTGCACACATGCATGTATACGTACATACGTGGTTGCACAGCTCCGGTGCCAGTAGATGTCTTCTTCTGATCATGATGCTTTTGACGGTGGTGAAGACAGCGACATGGACCGCGACGATGGTGGCCATGATGCTAATGAGCGGGAGGGGAAGCGGGCGAGAATGAGGAGGGAGGAAGAGGGGGGGTAGGTTCAATCTCATGGTCATATTCATGATGACGGCGATAGAAACGAGAATGATGATGATGGTAATGATGATGACGATTAGGATGATCATGCTGATGGAGATGATGGTGACGTCAATTGGATAATCATGCTGATGATGGTGGTGATGATGATTGTCGTGCTGAAAGCGATTGCATGCGACGCCGTCATGTTTAAGAGTCATGATGATGTGGATGGCGGATCGATGAGGATGACGATGACGAGTATGCTGATGATGCTGACTCATGTAATGAGATGTTAATGTCATTCCCGTATATCAGTTATGTAGCAATGCGGTCATCAATAACACTGCCAGATTGAACATGAGCATTATCGAACCTGCTCCGACTGAAACTTCATGATCTGAACTAGCATAGAACTACTAGAGCATTCCTGTCTTGCCTGTGGCTCGAAAAAAAATCAAGTTCTGGTTTCAGGCTTACGTCATATCCTCCTATGGCAAGTCTCACCAGATGTTGTTGAAGATTCGGCCGCGAATTTTACAGTTATGCTATATATACTCTGCTAGCAGATTCCTGAGGCCGATTGCGCCCTTTCTCAACCTCAAGCTAATAAGAAAAGCTCTGAGGCCCTGTCCGTGGTGGTAATGGTGGTTGTGCTCGTCGTGGTTGTGGAGGTAATAGTTGAAGTAGTGGTAGTGCTCGTCGACTGCAGCGATAAATCGCTGGGCGAACAGGCCGTTAGACCCAAGTCTTGAATTAACGGTTCCGGATCCAATCTATGAAGCTCTAGGAGCACAACCCAGTTAACGAGTCGACGCTCCCCTTCGAACACTGAGAACGACGACGACGATGGCGCCTCAACAGCGAACAGGACCACAACGACGACTACCTATTCTGGCTATGTAGAGCATACAGTGGTGGCAACACCTCCGCTTGACCACTGTAAACAGAAGACTTAACAGATGGAGGCAGTATCTACGAAGCAATCAAACGAGGCATGGCTTTGTCTTCATGCTTAGCCGTTAACCAATATGATCATGCTCCTCTTCATCATCACCATCATAAACCGTCATCAACATGGTCATCATTGTTCCTAGTATCAGATCCCATCCCCCGCACCCTGGCTCTCTTGGGCATTGTCACCTGCACCAACCCAGAGATCCGAATACCCCTTAATTAAGGAAGGTACCTTAAACTATAGGGGACGTAATACTATGGTTTAAGGTATATTCCCTAATTGAGGGGTATTGGGATCTCAAGGAACATCCCAGTAGGGACAAACATTATTGTTGTTTTGACAGGCTCGTAAACATAGGAGTGATCAGGCTGCCCATGACGATCGATGATAAAAGCATCGGAGTTTCGGAGTAACCGAGTATCCGTGGAAATGTTGTATCTGCAGGGTTGCTGGAAGCCCTAGACCGTCTCAAACCCAGAACCATGTCCCGCATTCTATTTTTGCCTAAACCCTAGACCCTAAACCGCAGGTTTTTGCTGACTCGGAGCTCTCGACACTTTTCCCTGCTGGGCTTCGCTGGCGGGATCTGTTTTTGCGGGTTCACGGCATGTTCATATAGGTACCCAGGTAGTGAGGATAGCGCTTTGGGGCTACATTTTTGTAATGGCAATATGGATAGAAATTTTCCCCCCCATTTACTCCGACTGCTATGTTACTCTTGACTGCTTTCCGAGATCCGAAAGCCAATTCACTCACTGCCAGGGAGGCTCCCACATACCACTGAAATCACATGCAGGGTCCTACCATAGTTTAGTTGATGTTGAGGGTGTATATATTCCTTGGCTAACCAAGGAATATTGGAAGGTGTGGGTACTTTGGAAGATCTGATGCCTTTGATCGTGGAAGATGTCGAAACCTACACTTGCAGAAAAGGCGCCTCGATTGCAGTAAACTTGAAAGATGATACGGCACCATGATAAGACGATACCAAAATTCCCATCGTATAGGGTCATGACGGTAATGCAGGAATTATATCATCAACCGTATTCGTGCTTCTGAGTCCCTGTCAGTGATGGTAGTCGTCGAAGTGGTAGAGGTCGAAGTGCTGGTGGTGGTCGTTGTGGTCGTCGTGAACTGGCGACAAGGTTAGAGTCTTCAGACGCAACAGGGTACAAAGAGCCATGCCTTGTAGTACTTGTAATATTGAATGCAGCTGCAGCCGCCACAACATAAAGACATGTGCTTCGAAGGGAACATACCATCGCCCGTTCAACGGTCACCTGCATTCAGATCCAAGGAAGTCTTTCATCTTTCGTGCGAACCTTGAAGGCTGCTAACCAGAAGTGCTGCGAGAGTTTGTGAGTTGGCGGGGGTTGGGCAGTGAATAAAGAGTTGCTTATTGTTATGTACTGAACAGGAAGTAAACATGCCGACATTGGACAGGGTTTGTGCATTTAGTGTATTAACATCCCACTGCACTGGACGAACACTTGAAACGTGCCCCAGCCCTCACAACATTGCAGACAACACGACCCTTCAAACCCTGCAACAGAAAGACAGGAGAACCTGAATTGACTCAGCAAGCTTTAAACCCTGAACCCTAAGCCCTAAATCCGAATCCCTAAACCCTGAACCCTAAACCCTGAACCCTAAAGCACGAGCCCCGAATGCACAGATGCCTCGCATGCTTGATTCCGACGTGTCAGGACTGCTGCCAACTCGGGATGACCTTTGCAGCCTTGCAGTTGCAGTAGTAGGTCGTAGGTAGTACGTCGTAGGGAGTAGGCAGCAGGTAGTGGTGGTGGTAGTAGTATCAGTAGTAGCAGTAGTAACAGAAGTAGCAGAAGAAGCAGCAGTAATAGTGCCAGCAGGAGAAGAAGAAGTAGTAGTAGTAGTAGTAGTAGTAGTAGTAGTAGTAATTACTTGTAGCAGTAATAGTAGGACCACGACCACGACGACGGCTACTACTACTTCGCAGTCGCGAGGTAGCAGCGATAGTCATTGCTGCTGTGACAGTCATAGAGCAGTCAGTAAACAACCCACCATTTCTATGGCGACATCAAGGTGCAGTAGTTTAGCAGTGCTGGTTGCTGTTGTTAGGTCGGCAGGGGTCTTTGCTTCACGATGTCGAAATGCGAGTTTAAAGTTTAGGGTCGATATGTATGGGTTTTGGGCCTGGGCTTAGCAGTGGGCATGTCTATCATGCTCGCAGTGCTTGAATGGAAAAAAAGACCTGCATGTTTAGATGCTGCTGAGAAAAATTGTCTGACATTTTATGGTGCCTCGACAACGTAGATGTTGATGAGTTGCTAACACTGGCAAGCCGGATCTCGTGAACTATCTGTTCCGACTGACCCAGCAAACGAATTCCGGGCACAAATAACCAGCCGAGTAAGCCTAGAGCTTGACCCCAGATTGCACCATCCTCAGGGCAGAGCCCGTGTTGGTCCAGCACTTTCCAGCAGGATCCCATGCATAGCTGACGTTCTCTGTGTCCTGAGTGAAGCTCTCCAAATCGCTGCTCAAGCTGCATTCATTGTAAGTAATTAGGCGTGGAGGATGAACTCAGTCTTCGACGACTGGAAGGCCCGTGCACTTGCAGGTGGCAAGCGCAAACAGACATTTCCGGGGACTCCACACTTGGCGATAACGGCAATACCCTTAAAGACACAAAGGAAGCCATTTCTTCGGATCATGCTCGCTGTTCTTCGGAACAGAAGCACCTATGCGGCAGCTACTTCAATTCATGTAGCTCGTGCTCTACCTTCGAGGTCCATGTACCCAAATAGTCTACATTTTAAAAGTATGTAATTACTGTGTGGGTACATACCCGACCTGGCCAGCTCCGACACCGAAGCCCGGATGCAGACGCGTACTGTCACGCATGCATGCACCCGTGCAGAATGTGAATATACCCATAGGCCCCATAGTAGTTCCTGGTTGGCATTACCATATAAAATTCTACTCATGAGTCCCAAAAGGAACTACTATGGGGCCTATGGGTAACCGCATACCCAGCTCGACCGTGTCTAGGTACATATGGCACGGCAGGAAGGAACCAATCAGCTCTGTATGTGATCGGATTTAGTCTGGCCAGAGCCTATCTCCATCTAACTATGGGCATGCACACATCATGCAAAAAGATGTAAATCTGTGTACGGGTGCCCTGCGTGTTACCTTGCTTCCTAAGAAAAGATGAGCAATCAAGATGCTGCAACTATGACTATCGATAGCACTGTTACAGACGAAGGTATCTGTGCGCTCATGATATACAGCGTGTTGCATGCACATGCTTTAAACCCGGGATGCGGTCGGCCTTGCTACAACATAACCACGCCTTACTGGGCTGCACCGGTTTGCACATCGTATCATGTTCACTGTCCTGGGTGCCGGCACATTGCTGTTGCATGGTGCCCTATCGCGGGTTGCGCTTCTACGCTTTCAGCTGGCTTCGTGATCTGATATCTTTGCTGGAAGTTCTGCCGCCACGCCACGTCGTAGTCGAAAAGGCACCAGGCACCACAGTGGCTAAACCTTGTTGTCATCAGAAGCAGAACCGGCGCAAAACCAGAACCACAGGCCCAAGGCAGAACTGCTTTCGCAGATGCTTCAAAATCAAACTCTGTAACATACAAGGACGAAGAGCAAAAAACGAGAAAGCTGCAAGCAGAAGTTCCTTTAAGGCTTTGCTTGTGGAGCTGTTCATGGAAAAACACCCTGTCATGCCTGAACACAGAAAGCAGCAACGAGACAAGCATGACTGTCGTGAATAGCTGGTGAATGGCCATATGAACGAGTCTCATAGGCACAGCATGCACAGCCGATCCAAACTTGCACAAGCAGTTATCGGGGTGGCTTGGGACGATATGTCAGAAAGCTGGATTCGAGATTTGAGATAATTGTCGTACTTAGTCTTAGATGATCATAAACTCGTGTGTGTATATATATATATATATACACGTCAGACTATAACAACAAATATTAACATAGACACCGACATAGATATAGATACGGACCCGGATGTACATGTGTGTGTATCTGTATATAGTTGTATATGTATATGTATAAGTGTATGTGTATGTATATATGTATGCGAACATGATTACACAAAATGTATATGCATATATGTATATATGTATGTATGTATGTATGTATGCATGTATGTATGTATGCAGTATGTAGGTATGTATGTATGATCATATGTATGTATGAACCGGCATGTATATGTATCTGTTTATATATGTGTATATGTACATATGTATATACGTTTATACGTACGTATGTATGTCTAAATGTATATATGTAAAAATGTATGTGTATACATGGTTAAACATATATATATATATATATATATATATATATTTCTATTATATTCAGTTTACAGTATGGACATACTATACAGTATGAGTCGTCTAGAGTCTCTAGTCCTGGAGCGTGGGGCCACCCTCGGGCTCCTGGCATGTGGTTGGCCAGTGCCTTTCGGACCGAGCCGGTGTAGGAGTCGTCCTTGGCTGCTGGCACAACCCGAAGTGTCCAAGTACGAAGAATGGTAGCTACCTAGTAGATGTTTGGGCCCCAGGAGTACTAGCACTTGGCCCGTTTGGGTCAGGAGGCTCAGACCGAATTCTGCATGTTGTTTGGTATGCTTTCTGGTTAGGCTCTGCCAAGCTACCTGTGGATCCGAAAACCTACCGTTTTGGGGTTATACCTTATAGTTAAGGGGTCATAACCTACTATTTTGTAGGCTTTTGGTGATACAGGTATCTCCCTTATTACATGCACCCAAACAAGGAGCCACTATGAAGCCAGTGGGCATCTCCCTTGGTTGCAGTCGGGCGACACAGCCCTTGGCGTTGGGACTCCGGTCCTCGCCCTGGGAGGACCCTCCCTCACCTTTGCATCGACAAGGGCTCGAGTCCCAGGCTTCCAAGATGGTGCCTTTTTGGGGAGTCTCCGGAAAGTAGGGGTACCTTAATTTGGGGTCCTTATAATGAGAGTTCCACTGTTTAGGGTGGTATATTAGGGTCCCCCATTTTCGCAAACTCTTTTTTCGGATTTCTCCAAGCAAGTTTCAAAGGGGATCCCGAACAGCGGCCAAGAAGTGTGTGTGCCTGGTGATGGACACCTGTACACACCAGGCGAGTATCTGCACGCCAAGTTTGTGAAAACCAAACCCCTCGGTGTTGCCCTAAACCCTAAACCCTGAAACTGGTTCAGGACTCACGGTCGTGGCTGGGGGATGGTGGCCATGTCGAAGCTTGAAGACCATCTGGACTTTAGGCAGACTCAGGATTGGAAAACCTGTATCGATCATCGTCATTATCGATGCAATCTTTGGCGGCCCTTCGACAGCAAAGGTATAGGGATCCAAGGGTAAAAGGAGGGACCCTTAACAAGGACCCCTAGGTATATACCCTTAATATAGCTACTATAATACCCATTATATAGGCCATTATAGGGTAGGGGTCCCCATTAAGGGTCCCCCCTTCTCCCCTTTGATGGGAAGGATCTTTCCCTTCAGAAGGATCTCCCGAGCTCCGACCTACGACACACTCTCGATAAAAGCAACCCATGAGTCGAGCTCCTACCTGAAACCCTGACACCCCGAGCCAAAATTTCGAACCCCCAAACCCCAAACCCCTTCTAAGCCGGTGATAGGCCACTACACCAGGTTACTCATGAGTCATGAGTATTTATTGATGCCTCATTTGGAACCTCCATACCCCCGAAAAACCCTTCTCAGTCGGTAATATAAGTCACTGCATCAGGTTTCCCATGATTGTTTTTTGATGCCATCTGCTTGAACCCAGAAACTCGCCCAGCCTGTAACCTAACGTCAAATCGCGCATCTGCCCAGCCCCGTGCCCAACACCCTGAAACCCTCCCTAAACCCTGATCCCAAGCCACGTGACACCTAAACATTCCCAAAGAGTCCAAGTATCATTATGGTATAAATACTTAGACCCCCAAAATACCCTATAAGTATATATCAGAATGATACTTGGACCCTTTGGGATTGTCCCTTGCTCGAAACCCCAAGCTGCTCACCCGGTGAACTTGAATTCGAAGCCCTTTTCGGAACCCCAAGCCCCAAATAAGCCTGAGTACTCAAGAAGCCCCAAAAATACTCGGATCCCTCTTCTTGGGAGGAGCCCAACATGAGCTACCCTAGTTTCTTTCCTGAAATTTCAACTTCCCCTAAGAGCGCGAGGCTTTCTGCCAGGCGGCAGTAGCGCGTCATCAGGGACTCAGTCAGCTCCGGCACGAAATGATGGCAAAGTTCGGCCTGGGGTTCTGTGCATATTTATTTAAGCGGCTCTTTCCCCGTCCGCCTCTCAACGGTTCAGGATCTCGGATTTAGTGACTGTGGTTTTGGGATTAGGGATGAAGGTTTGGAGTTTTGGGAAGCAGGGCTCTTGAATTTTCAGAAGACTTCGGGTGTACAAGTAGGCGGGACTAGGTAAGCTTACGGGGCATGGGGGTTGGGACACTAGGTTCATAACCCTATCTCGAAGCTTTTCAGGCACAGCAGAGTTTCTTGATGTTGGTCTCAACAAATCGACGATTTGTTGGAGGGGCAGTCAGGGGGTTTTCAAATTTCGGAATCCTGACTCAGGGGTGAGGCCTTTGCCAGAGAGGGAGAACTGCATGTTGACAGGGGAAGGAGCCAGGCAAAGCTTCATGCGAGCCTTGAGTTGCGAGGGCTTGGATCTGCAGGCTAGGAAAAGGATAGTGGCGTTTAAAGCTGGGGAGCGGGGGTGCCACAGCCTTGGATGGTTGGGTGTCCGGCGTGTTGAGGCGCTTGGGAATTCAAGTTCAGCACTCAAGCGTACGAAGCGCCCATCACCCGAACACCGTGGCGTTTGACGACATGCATGGACCAGCAAGTGCAATCAGCTGTGCAATACGAGTGTTACTGTCAAAATCGCCAGCAGTCACTGTGGTTGTCATATGTTGTCATGATAGGAGCACTTACATCGGAGTAATCGCATACATAGCAATCCTGGTAGTCACTGCTGGAGCAAAAGTAACTACAATTCCAGTAAGTTGGACAGGGCCAGAGGTTCCCACAATACCATTAACATTACAGGTTCTCGGAGGCCAGGCGTTCAAGGCCAAACGCCCAACAACAAATCGCAAACGCCCAATAACAAAGCGTATAATATAGGGGCCTTAATAATGAGAATAAGGTTTTGGGGCCCATTCTGCTTTAAATATAATAAGGAACCCCTAAAAAAGTATAGGTAACTATTTAGGCAACTATATTAGCAGTCGGAGCCTTGCAGAGCTCTGCCTTGTGCTTCCTCAGCTACTGGACAGAGGGCGTGTGTGATTTTCCAGACGGCTTCCCATGCTCACTTTCAAAACACCATGAAGCTAAAGCCCCCAACGGAGCAGATTCTGAAACAGTCGGGAGACGCACTTGCGAGCAGGTCCGCTTGAAAAGGCTGCAAATCTCGAAGATTCCATGCCCTGGCCCTGCACCAGAAACCCTGAAGCAGTCTCAAAGCCTCACCGCCCCAATCCCCACACTTCTGCAATCTAGACTCTAGACTCTTATCATGCCTTTTGCCCGAGCCCCCTGCAGCAAGCTATGCTCAAAACCCCAGCCCTGACAAACGTCAGATCTCCTACCTCTTCGTCAGGAGCGCCAGTGCAAAACCAAACACTTCAAGAACAACTCAGAATGAGGTGCACAAGCAATCCGAAAGCTACGAGCATAGCTTTGTTTCGGAACTTCTGGCAGCTTAAGCTTACAATGGCACAACCTCCACCCTGTTCGCCTGTGGTTCCACCCTCTTTACTCGCATAACCAGGTCTGCTGCACATACTCGCTCAACTCATGAAACAGAAACATGGAAACTTGATATTCTTCATGCGGCTGCTGTATGCACACTTGCTCCACGAGTCACCACCACTGCTGCGTATGTTCATGATTCGTGTTGCTGACGGCTGCGATGATGGGAGTCACGAACATGACACACCTTACTTACTTATTACCGCAGCACACACATATCATGTGTATGTATGTGGGACTTCTCATGCATAGGTTTCATCATATCATATGTACCAGCATCAGCATGTGTGTATAAACGCATATATTGGTTTTTGCTTTTGGCATATGTATCTAAGCTATATATGTATATATAATGCTAAGATTCTCGCTTGCTGAAATTCTGCTCCCAGTAGCTTTGCCACCTCACGCTCCTTGGGGTACTGGTCGCAGACTTCATCTGCACAGGGACTTCTGCGGAAACCCTGTTACTATAGGGGCCTTTATAAGTAGAATCGGGTTTGGGGGCTCATTGTAGTATAACTACACTAAGGAGCCCCCAAAATAGTGTTGGCAATTATGAATTAAAGGCCCCCCCAAATTTTGCAATGCTCCTCACCTTAACCCTAAACTCTCAACCCTAAGCCCTAAACCCTAAATCCTAAACCCCAAACCCCTGAACCCTAAACCCTCACCTTTAAACCCCAAAGCCCCAAACCGGTTGCCAAGACATCGTCCCAAAGCACATTCATGGCGGCACGGACAAGTGTACGGAGGAAACAAGAGCCCGTGTCGACACGAGAGGAACAGTGGGATATTCAAGCAGTCTCGAGGTATATACAGAATAATGAATTATATAGTTCAGTAGCAATCACAAAGCCCGTGGTTCGCTATTAGAAGCCGTCATTCATAAAGGTCAAAGACGAAAGAACAAGAAGACATAGTCAACAAAAAAGTTAGTGTCAGTAGCAGTCGTCGTGCTCGCTTGTGGCACCTGTTTCGTCGTAGCACTTCTTCTCTGCATTCCAGTGGTAGGCGATCTTGTCCTGATTCATCAATCAAGTTTCGTGCAGGCTCGTGGTAGCGCGATTTACACTTTCTGCAGCCGCGAAGACTGGGATACCTTCACCTATGCAGTCTCGAAGGCACGTCTGACAGGCGAAAGTGTGCATCTCGCACTTCGGGAACTGATCTAGCCGTCACTTCAGCAAGTTTGCTTTATGTTGAGCTGTGGAAAGATGCCACCCTACCTCCTCAACTTGGACGCCGAAAAAAAATGCCCGGAAAGCCAGGGGTCTGGATGCTCGAAATCGAAGATGCACCATGCACCACAGTGGCTAAACCTCAGCATGCACAGCGGGCTGAATAATAGGACCCATAAGCCTGTAAGGCTCCTTCCTGGTCACGCAGGGCTTCACATGTCGTGCATACACTTCGAGCTTCACGCGTCGAGGGCCAAGCCATGAATCCTAGCGGTTTAGGGTTTAGGGTTTAGGGTTTAGTGTTGCTAGTTACTTACCTGCCTGCAAGACTGCGCGACTGCTAGCACACTCGAGCTACACCCAAGGAGCAACCATAGGTTGGCTTTGCCCATAGGCTCCATAGTAGTCCTTTTTGGGATCGCCTTAGGATTCTAAACATGAAAGCCTAAAAAGGAACTACTATAGGCTCCATAGTAGTTCTTTTTTGGTGCTCATACCAAGCATCCTCCCAAAAAGGAACTACTATGGAGCCTATGGGGTATTGCTTCGAAGCCTGGCGAGCTAAACTCCTGTGGCGTGGCCAGACGTCCCGGGCTTCAACACTCCAAAGGGTTCAAGTATCATTCTTGTATGGACTTGTAGGGCATTTTGGGGGTCTGAGTATATACCATGATGATACACTTGGACCCTTTGGGACTGGCAGGGGTCAATTCAAGTGCTAGTTGCTTTGGAATGAACCTCACGAAAGCTCTCAACACTCACCTAAAAGCCCTAAGTCCTCAACCCCAAACCCCTAAACCCCTAAAGCCCTAAACCCTGAAAAAACTTCAGTCTCCAAGAGCCCGCGATCTTTTCTCCGAAAGTTCCTGCCGCTGATCTCCAGTGGCTCAGGAAGGCGGACCAGGAAGGCGTCACAGCTGCGGCCAGAAACTGCCAGGCCCTGGAGATGGTACCTTAAGGGTTTAGGGTTTTAGGGTTAAGGGTTTAGGACTTAGGGTTTAGGGTATAGGGTTAAGGGTTTAGGGTTGAAAGATCTTAAATAGACATGAGGACTTGCTGATTGAGTAGATTTTCGGGCCCACATTCAGCAGGCATGTGGCGTGCTGCGTTCAACCGGCGAAGGGTAGCGACTCAAGTGAGCACACGCAGCAGTGGTAAGTTTGTCCGCTTGTTTCGGATTCTGGGCTCCCGCACCCAAAGGGTCCAAGTATCATCATGGTATATACTTAGACCCCCAAAATGCCCTACAAGTATATACCAGAATGATAGTTGGACCCTTGGGGCATGAAGAAAGACGAGGTGCTTCGACGAACTGCGCCAGGCCGCCGATAGGTCCAGGCCGCTCGAGCGTACGAGCTGGTTTGACTGCTCCTCACGGACATTGCGACTAGACAGATGTAGCAACAGACCACATACTGGAGTTACTAATTAGGGTGATCCTGACGCCTGAAATAACATTAGAGTAAGTATAGTTACTACTAGTAGTGTTATTATGACAACTACTGTTACTAGTACAACTACTGATACTATTATTGTTAGTACAACATTTGTTATCATTATGAACTTCATCATCAAGCTAGTATTCTGACCATGACTATCAATGCTTGTCATGCACCTGGCTTGGCCGACTCACTGGCAACTCACACAAACTCCCAACGAAGGTCCAGATCCGCACCCCGAAGCTCTTGAAATCTGTGAGCTCAAGGGTGGAGTGCTTTTAGAGTTCTTGTGGATTCGGGGGTCCCATCCGTTTCCTTGCTGGCCAAGACCTGACACATAAGAGCATACTTGCCCGAAGGACTGACCGACCTCGGCCTGCCCTTTGATTCTGAGCTTAACTTGTGAACGCAACCTGTAGCAGCCATTGTGTAACAAACGGCTCGGACTTGCATGTTGAAAGAGGCTTCGAAAATCTCTTACCTCGTCCTGAACAGCACAAGTTGACACCAAGCAGTGCCAGTCGAGTTTGTAAAGCCCAGTGAACGCCCTACACTTGGGTAGTTGTCAAAATTATGGTCGCGTCTTGGATCCTTAGTATAGTATGGCACCAATTTTAAGGTACCCAAAAAGGGGACCTTAATTTTGACAACTACCCACCTGTGTGATTTTTGGAGGGCTCAGCACCCAGATCGGTCTCCTCCTCCTCTCGCAAGTGCACAGACAAGCCTTGCTTCCCAAGCTCCACGACGATTGCCTTCTTAAGCCGTGTGGGCGAGGGGTGGGAGGAGGAGTTGGGCGGGAGAGTGCAAGTCTGAAGAAGTAGTCTCATCGTCCTTGATAGTCTCAGTATAGACCTCTACGAAATTTACACCCAAACCCTGTTCATCTACCTCGGTTTCAATGCAAGGGCTCCCTCTTCCGGTCTAACTCATTCGACGCGTTTTGTGTCTTAGGAGATCTGAGGGTTCCCCCAACTGTGGTGAGCAACAGCGCCTGCGTCAGTGTGTGTTAGCCTGTAAAAAATCTTGTGCATATGCTACGCCATTAAAAGCGCGACGAAGCCGCATCATAAGCTAATCCCCTGAAAGCAGGGCAGCCACAGCAGAGCGGAACACAAATAGAACCTGGAGTCTTGCAGAGCTCATCACCGTCAACACTTCCAGAAAATGCTATGCGATTCCAACAACTACATCAACTACCTATGTTTCATGGTTACATGTTCATCTGTGTGTATACATATATATATATATATATATGTATATAGAATACATACATACATGTCGAAACCTTCCCATGTCACCTTGAGCAAAGCATTGGAGTCGACAGGATGCCAAGGAGGACGTGTCGCCAGCCTGAGCTTGGAAAGCAGCAGGGGTTTAGGGGTTGAGGGATTAGGGTTGAGGGTTTACGTGTCGAAGTGACATGTCGGAAAACCATGAACGTAAACCCTAAACCATAAAATCAAGATGAAAAGTAAATCCTAGAATGGGCCGTTGACCACAAAATGAACAGCAAACCCTAAACTAAACCCTTCCGAAGCCGAGCGGCGTGATGTGAAGAAGTTTGCCTTGGAGGCAGAAGCACACTCGCGCCATCGTCAGTTATGTACTGACAATCTTTAAACCGCAACATGCCTCAAGGAGTCCTACAGTTGTGTTCTGATGCCATCCAATTGCTTGCGCCCACTTTACTATTGAACAGGATTTGCGGGGGCTGCATCCGAAGACTAGCTTAACAGGGATAAGGCTACCGTACAACGAAGGCCGGCCATTGTGCACTCGCTCGTTCAGGAAATACCCCACAAACGGTCGGGATGCCACCGTGCACGAACAAGGACTCCTCATCATAAGGATCCCCATCCTAAAACCTGAACATCCTTGAACCCTAATCCAGAACATCCCCAAAAACCCAAAACCCTAAATCCTGAACATAAAACCCTAAACCCTGAGCCCTAAATCCTGAACATACATACTTGAACCCTAAACCCCATTGTATCAATGCCGGCACCTCCCTTGGCCCGCCTGAAGTACCACAACGAACTCAGGGTACCCATGGTTGAAACCCAAATCATTACTATTACTATTATTACGACTAGTATTATTAGTACTGTTGAAATTTTATTATCACTAACAGTAGTATTATGAGTATTATGAGTATGACTAGCATGATTAGTATTATAAGTATTTTAGTATTGTCAGTAAAATAGAATTATTATTACCATTACTAGTATTACTATTTGTGTCCTTATTAATGTCGTTATTAAAACTATACTGTCTTGTACTATCTTGATTCATTGATTCCTACGTTTATAATTACTGCATGTTCGTATTGCTATTACTATTCATGTTCCTGTGACTACTACTACTACTACTACTACTACTACTACTACTACTACTACTACTACTACTACTACTACTACTACTACTACTACTATTACTACTACTACTACTACTGCTGCTACTACTACGACGACTTCTACTACTACTACTACTACTACTACTACTACTACTACTACTACTACTACTACTACTACTACTACTACTACTACTGCTAGTGCTAGTGCTACTGCTACTAATTACTGTTATTATTACGGCATCTTGGAGGGACTCACACATTGGACTGGGGCCTGCTACCACTGGTTTAAGGTGTACAGGGGTTCCTAGGGTTGAGGGTTTTAGGGTTTAGGGTGGATAGCATCAACATCGGAGATTCTATTCCTGACTGGGTGTACGTACCCATAAAACATGTAAAATGTAACCAACAATGACAAAGGGTTACGGGTTTCGTGGGTCTCCGGTTCCAGCCACAAGAAAAGGGCAACTTGCCGTTGCATCCAGGATGCCGCGCGGCACAGCCAGCGCTGGAACAGCCTCTTCGATAACCTCAGCTAAACCCACCGCAAACCGTGCGGCTAGTTGGAGAAGTCCAAGTCCTACAAAGTAGGATTCAGGACTCTCTAGTCTTTCAGTCTATCTAGTCTATAATTGTTTTGAACACGTTCATTAACAACAGCTGGTGCTGAATGCGCTCCAGGCGTTCATGGAGATGCGTTCCCTGGTAAACGATGCGAGTTCCAAACGATCCCGACCGCCAAGTTTAGTCAGTCTCTATTCGGAAGGACAGTGGTGATGCACCAAATATAACTGAAGCAAGCCCTCTTCCCCAATCACTCTTGAGTCCAGGTGCAGCGCAAGCGAGACCATTGGGAGCAAAAGCAACGCTCCCGACGGTTAGCGCCCTTAGTACGTGAAGGAGTTGTCAGTCATCAGAACTGAAAGGTGCCGTTAGCTCGAGCAGCTCATGGTGATGTGTTCGGCTTCTTGTCTCACATGAAGCACGACTATAATACTCACACTACGCGACTAAAGGAGACAGACGAGAACGACGATGGAAGAGATGATGATAATAATGTGTAGGATGACTAGTCTGCCTCTGCTGCTCTGCCTGTTTTGATTTTGGCATTACATGTATCAGCCATTAGGTATCAACTTGTGTCATGAAACACAATTTGTTCCAGTCTTTTCATGACGATGCTTTGCACTAAGGCACTTTCTATCCATTCGTCCTCCGACCCTAGCAGTGGCGGACGTGCACCCTTCTTAAACCAAGGGTGTGGTCGCACGCTTACCATCCACCGTTCGAGCCTCGTCTATCTGCATTCCACCCTACCGACGATCTGCAATTCCTGTCAGCTTGCCAAAATGCATCGGCCAACCCTGCAAACATGCATGAATACCTACGTACATACATGCATACATGTATACATGCATGCATACATATACAAACGTACGTAACCTGATTTGCATGCTTAGCTCTACATAGTGTCGCAAAGGCGCGACTCGGTCCCTTCCAGAGCGAAAGACTCCTGCAAATCTTGAGGCGATCCAACAATGATTCAGCAGGCGGGGGAGAAAGCTAGGCGAGGTAATCCCAAGAAGAAGTCCTATGTAAGGCTTCGTAAACCCTAAACCCCCCTAAACCCTAAACTTCGACTTGTGAACTTGTGAGGTTTCGCGAAATTCGGCCCGCGGTAGCAGCCGTAGGGCTGTGTGTGCTCGTTTGCTTCGGATGCTTCTTGACACAGAAACTCCTTAATCAAGCTACCCTCAACCCTAGACCCAAAACTGGATAGCTAGTCATTTATAACTGACGGCTGCGAAAAACCTCTAGCTTTCGGTTTTAGTCCAAGGCCAACGGTCCAGAGATGTCGAAACATCTCCCTTGATTAGTCTCCTTGTAGGGTTGAGGGTTTAGTTCTCGATGTGTGTGTATATATATATATGTATATATGTGCATACATATGCACCTATAGAAAGTAGTATTGTGCACCTTATACATCTATGTATGTATGCGGGTTTACGGGATAGGGTTCGGTGTTTTTGGTGCAGTGTCAAGGGTGGTTGGTTGCGCTATCAGCGAAACCTCCTGAACTTGGGGCGACCGTGTCGTTGCAGGGACGACACGAATTGCCAGACCTAAACCCGTGAGCTCGATCTGTTGTACCCCATGACTCTCACCTTAACACGATTATCAGCTTTGAAATGCTACCCGTAGCAATGGTATGCAAAGTACCTTTTGAAGGACTACGAACACTTTCGTTCCTCAGCCACTAGCCCGAAGCTTGCAGTGAGTAGATTAGGGCCCCCAAAAAAGCACATAAGCAAAATTAGAATAGGGATATCCCATACAAACCCCCTTATAATGCAGGGATATCCCCATAAAATGCTTATGCTTATGTGCTTTGGGGGTCCCTGATAGATGCTGGCCTCCAGAGCGGCGGCGGACACCCCGTCGGAATGGAAGTCCGAGGCATGGAAGGTAGTGACGTGGAGCGGAGCCTTGGATATAACAAAGCTTGGATCAAAGGGTCCTAGGTACGGTCATGGGGGATACCTCCCCCCGAATCATAGTAACTACTAATTCCTATATAGAAACCCCACATTCTTCATAGTAAGTGGCAATTCCTGTATAGAAACCCCACTACAGTCTACCAAAGAGGTCCTTTGGACCCTATTGGGATTCAGCAAGAGCTTGGAATTCAGAGGTTACGGAGTGTTCAGAATGGAATGAGGGGACGGTGAGCACTGAGTCAAGCTATCTGTAGGACTGGGTTTGTTCATGCTAGCCGTGCTTCGCAACTTACAAAGTTCTTGTGCATCGTAGCCGGGGAAGTTTGAGCTTTCTGCTCAGATTATGGGGCAGCTTGCAGAGAGGCTCTCAGATTGGTGGGATCTGGCTTCCTCCAGGTCTTCTTGAAAGGGTGCTCAGCCCCTGGCGAATTACGAACCTCCGAATGCAAGGATCCTCGCGACAACCAAACTCATCCTCCTTGATGTCACTATCTGAGGGAAAGCTCTGGTAGAGCTGGAACGTTCATGACAGGTTTTGCCGTAAAAACATGGCTTGCAGTAAACAGCGCCGACAGGATGGTTGTCCCACACCCTTTAGCCCACCCCGGCCCACCTTAAGACCCAAACCCCAAACTCTCCAGACCAGGTGCTGGGATGGAATAGCGTCGGACTTCCAGCGCTTCTTTTGCCAAATCCTAAACTCCGCGGCAGCTCCCATACTGAACCCAAACGGTCCAAGTATCATTGTGGTATATACTTAAAGGGCATTTTGGGGATCCAAGTATATACCATGATGATACTTAGACCATTTGGGGAAGCTGATCCAGAATCTCCATGCTGGGTTGGACTTACGGTTTAGGGATTCGCACAAGTCAGCATCTGACATCCAAGAAACCACCCACCCTCCCTCAAGATGCAGTAGATGGTCACTGGAAGCGAGAGAGATCCATTGCTGCATTTAGGGCAGCAGAAATGTGCAACCCTCATTACCCTCGGAAGCTGGTACACACCAAACCTCAAAGAGGGACTCCGAACTCAATTCTGCAGACATTTCCCTAGAACCACAGGTTTCATACTCAGCGCAAGTACCCCAAACCCTTAAATCTAGGCCCTAATACCTATAGTAGACTGAACCCTAAACCCTAAACGGCATCGGACGGCCATAAAGACAAGTCACAGCCTTTAGAGCAGCCACCATCGGAGCCCACGCCCTTGGCTTCACTTACATGTGTAGTTGCACATGCATACGTGTGCGCGCGCGTGTGCGTGTGTGTGTGTGTGTGTGTGTGTGTGTGTGTGTGTGTGCTTATTAGTATATGTATACACACAGACACATACATGAATGTGAATGTATGTATGTGCGCGTGTGTATGCATGCAAGTTCTGGTGTGCATGCATGCGTGCATATATGTAAGATTGCATATCTGGCCGTCAGTCAGTCAATCAGTCAGTCCGTCTGTGTGTATGCTTGTATGTCAGTCTCTCTGTAGGTACGCATTATAGTGTGCATGTGTATCTCTATATCATCTATATATGCACATGTATATATGTATACACATACATGCATACATACATGCATGCATGCGTGCATACATACCTTCCTACCCTCCTACCTGCCAACCAAAATGCATACATATGTGTGTATTTGTTTATATACACGCAGACGAAGACACAATGTCGTATCATGTCACAACATAGCATATCTTCTCATACCGCAGCATGCCATAATGCATCATGTCATGCCGTACCAGATCGTGTCATGTCGACATCAAATCGCGTCATATCACCTGTGTGTGTATATATATATATATATATATGTAAAGAATAAAAAATGTCTGCACATACACATGTGTGTATATATATAATGTATATATATATATATATATGATAGGGTTTAGGGTTTAGGTAAGTCCAACACAATCAGGAAACCTAGATCTCACGACATGTTTCAGTTAAAAATGGTCTGCAAGCCTCATCCCAACAAGAAACAGTATCATCAGTCTAGAGCTTACGGTTGACATGGTGCAACGGCCGCCAAAGAAGAAAACAACAAGCATGCTCTCAGTCCAGCACATCCAGTACAATGAAACTTATCCACAATCTTGTGCGAATTTAAGTGCACGATTAAGCGGACCTGCGTGTGGGCAACGCCCCGAACTCAATCCAGGGCCTATGCAAACGTACGGAACAGACAGTAGAACAACTTCACTGACTCTGAAAGCTATAGAAAGGAACATGGTGATGATGAAACGATGCTGCTCATAGATGAGCTCGAAGTGAATAGGAAGAAAAACCATGGTGATGATGATGATGGTTGTGACGGTTGTTTTGGTGGTAAAGCTGATCATCGAAAGATCATGGTACGGACAACTACGGTGGTTCATTGCGGTGCTTTAGGCGCCAAGGGGCAATCCGATCCGGTCGCCATTGCATCGGAGAGCACTCTCCAAATTAACGCCTGGGACCGTGCGCTGTGCCGATGCTGCTTAAACAATTCAAAGCTCTCAGCATGTAACGCCTTGATGGATAAAGCCTTAAACTTTCAGCGCAAAACGTATGCTGCGAAGTACAGCCTTAAGACACGTTTTTGTTTAGGACATGTGCTCATACCTGCGCAAGGTAAGGTAAGTGTACTTCTGGCACACAGGCCATGAAGTGTCTATATCGCACACACAAGACCCTACCAAATCCTGATTTCAAAACTGCTTGGCACTTTCTTTCGCCACTCTGAATGTGTGTTGATTGACTTGCAACGGGGGCAGCAACAACTACAGTCCCGTGTGTTTCCTGCACGTGATGAAAATGCAGTATTGCCACGTCGACCCGAACATCCCTTAGCCCTTCAGCGTTTCAGATCCCGTGTCCTGGGCCAAATACCTCTTAACCTTGAAATCCGAATCCAATGCCCTCAAAACCACAAGCAATTGCATAGGCAGGGCTCCGAAATACTGTGGTATGGCCCTGGCCCGAGGTGCAGAAGATGAGGAAGCTGCCTCCCAAAGGCAGTGCGTGCTATGGCAGGGTGGTACTAGTAGTTTGGGTTCAGGGCTTCTCTTTGACGGTCTATGCGCGGTCACTCGCACAGCGGATTTCAACTCCCAAGCTCAGGAGAGAACTCACACAGGTGAGACAATGGTCAAGACAAGACTGACTCAGTTCGTATCTCGCAAGACTCGTGATGACCATAGGAATCAGCAATACTCGAAGTAATAGTGGTAGTAGTAGTAGTAGTAGTAGTAGTAGTAGTAGTAGTAGTAGTAGTAGTAATAGTAGTAGTGGTAGTAGTAGTAGTAGTAGTACTAGTAGTAGTCGTAGTAGTAGTAGTAGTAGTAGTAGGAGTAGTAGGAGTAGTAGTAGTAGTAGTAGCAGTAGTAGTTGCAGTAGTAGCCGCAGTGTATTTATTAGTAGAAACTAACAAGTAGCAGTCGTAGCCGTAGTAGTAGTAGTAGTCGTCGTCGTCGTCGTCGTCGTAGTCGCAGTCGTAGAAGTATAGTCGTGGCAGCAGCAGCAGCAGCAGCCGCAGCAGCGGCAGCAGTGGCAGCAGTAGTAGTAGTAGTTGTTGTTGTTGCTGTTGGTACAGACAAAAACAGCAGCCCGTACTTGTTGTTAATTAGAAGCAATTGGGAATGCTTCCGGCGACCGCATAGGGTGCCTGTAGAGTTTTGGGAAGCTGCCCCATGATACAAATGCGGTGTAGGCTGGGTGGTTGTTGTAAACGGGGGGGTCAAAAAAACAGACGGGGCTCCAGTTTTTGCCTCTACTACAGGGGGTAGAGACAAAGGCACCAGTGAAATCAGGACTTTGTCTCTACCCCCTGTAGTAGAGGCAAAAACTGGAGCCCCGTCTGTTGTTTTGACCACCCCCCCTTTACAACAACCGCCCACGTTATACCACATTTCCACCACAGGTATAAGAATCTGCGATATCCAGAAGGGGTTCTGATGGGTGTTGGAAGGGCTTGTCTGGAATTTTGAGGGGTTTGCATTGGATACCCGTACACTCAAAACTATAGTTACCAGTCACTATACAATAGTTTGTACAGGCCTCGCAAATGCATATTCTGCACGGCGGGGAACCACCAAATGCACTGAAATACACACCAAATCCACTGAAATACACACCAAATACACACCAAATCCACCG